TGACTTCTTGCACTAAATCCACTGAGCTTCATGCATGTTCTCTGGTTTTAGCCATGGAGAAAACTCTTGGCTGGAGACTATTTTGGTTACATTTACACTTGCTCATATTTTCCAGACAAAAAGTTAATGGTGCATCTCCCAAATGTCCCGGCTGCAACAACGCTTTATTGGTTCCGCTATCGGGACGGAACCAATAATTAAATAAGATTATAATTTTTTTTTAATTGTCAATTTTAACGCTTTATTTAGATTACAAAAATAAATCGTAATAAAAATAATCCTATTTATGATGTTTTAATAAGTAAGACCTACGAAAGACCGATTTAAGACATTTTAATACCAATTAAGGCCTTTTAAGACTTTTTAAGGACCCGCAGGAACCCTGATATCTGCGTTAACTGCGACACACGCAGACGACCTGGTTTCTGAGCATAAGCCAGGCTGTACGGTTCACTATAAAACAGAAGTTTTGATGTTCTAAAGTAAAACCGGACTGAATAAAGACAGAAGACGTTCCTCTGAGGTACCTTCAGGTTGTTGTAGGCCAGATCTGCAGTTTCCACGTCAGAAGTTGGGCTCTTGGCCTCAGAACCCTTTGAGGAAAGAAGATGTATATTATTCTGACTCTGGTTTCCTGCAGACCGTCGTTTCCTTCGGGTTTAGAGGCTGCATCAGTTCAGAAGTTCCTCCGAGCTGACAGGATACTGACCTTACGCTTGGCGATCTCCTCCATCTTGTCCAGGTTGACCTGCAGCCTCTTCCTCTCCGTCTCCAGCTCTCTGACTCGTTTCTGCAGCTTCATGAACAGACTGATGTCCATCGCCGCCTTCTCCACCCCCATCTCCTGAAAACCAGCAGAACCGCACAGAAATGAGGCAATGAACCCACCTTTAAACAGGAAGGATAAGCTCCGCCCCCCTGACTCACGTCCACCAGCTGGATGGAGTCCTCGGTGTCTCCCACCTCGGAGGTGGAGACAGACGGGTAGTTGGAGTCGGACTCCAGGCTGATCTGGTCAGACGTGGTCCTGCGGTGGCCGGGGTGGAACTGGAGGACCACAGACAGAAGGAGACGATGAAGATGGAGCAACAGCTAAACTTCAGCCAGAACTACTGAGATAAAGACTCAAAAAGCTGTTAATAGATGGTGCTGCAGGTAGAACATCTGAAGAACAAAGTTCTGTAACATCAGAACCTGTTGGTTCCTTTGGTGTTTATCAAAGGTTCTGTACGGTTCAGGAAACCCGGATCCTCCAGAGGAACCCCTGCTTTCTCATCAGATTCTGCTGGCAGCCTGGAGGCTCCAGGTCTGACCTGGGGTCAGTCTCACCTTGCTCAGGGACACCTCCTCCTTCAGGTTCTCATATCTCATTTCCAGCCTGGAGAACTCTTTCAGGAGGTTCTGGTAGCGTTCTCGCTCCTGATCCAGCTCGGTCTCCAGGGACGAGCTGCTCAGGTCCTCTGCAGAACAAACAAAGCGCTCATGAGGAGAACCTGGACCTGGAACTCCAGAGGAGGAGACGGTTCTGGTTTTACCTGCAGAGTTCTTGGCCTGCTGCTGGATCCGTCGGTTCATTTCCTCCTTCTCAGTCTTCAGCAGGGAGTTCTCCTTCTCCAGCTCCTCCACCCGCTGAGGATCAAACACATCATCACCACCACAGAGTTCCACAACAGAACCTTCTGCCCCAGATGCTTCAGGTGTGCTCTCACCTGAGTGAGGCTCAGCTTCTCACTGCCGTGCTCCTCCTCCATTTTCTTCCTCTGGGTGTGCGCCTCCTGCAGCTCCTCCCTCAGCTTCTCCACCTCCTCCTGTAGTGACATCACCTTGCCTCCGTCGGGCTGCTGGTTCCGGACCAACTCCAGCTCCTTCTGCAGCTTAGTGACCTCTGAGCCCAGGGAGGCGTTCACCGTCAGCAGCTGCTCGTTCTGCGTCTTCAGCTCCTTGGACTGAAAGGGACACGGTGTCGGTCGGGTGCCTCTGCGGACCCCAGGGGCCGGCTGTGTCGTGACGTACCTGCTCGTCCATCTTCCTCGTCAGCTGGACGATCTTGTTCTCCATCCCTGTGTTGAGCTTCTTCAGATGCTGTGCGGAGCGCGCTTCGATCTTCCGCTGCTTCAGGAGCCGCTTGGCCTGCATCCTTCTGAAGCCGCACTGGATGACGATGGCGGCGTTGCGCGCCCGCAGGAACTTCTTCCTCTGCAGCCAGCCGCGGACGTGCTTCTGGATGATCATGGCCTTGTGGTGCAGCAGGAACTGCAATGGAACCAGCATTCAGTGACCAAACAGCAGCAACGTCTGAGTTATTACAGTAGGAAGAAAAGATTCCCGTCAAAATAAAAGTCCTACTTTTATCCTATTGGAGGGAAAAATGATGTAAACGCTATTAATTTCTCCTTCAAAATAAGAGCTTCAGACTCACATTAGATGAGAGGAAGGTATAGTTTAGAAGGGGGATACATTTCAAAGTAAAAGCATTAATTAAATCCCAGGATTAGGCTCTAAAAAAGTTGATATTTTACAGAATAAAAGCCTCAAGATCTCATAGTTTAGACCAGGCGTTCCAAAATATTGCACTCTGTATTTATTCATAAATATAAAGCAACTTTTAAATATATGCACCTTTTAAAACAACATTTAATTACTTAAGAAAGGGCTGCAACCAGTATTTTACCAATGTTTTAACCTAACGATTATTTTTTCTGTTAATCAATTCGTAAATTGATAGTAATTATTCAGAATTTCCTCATGTAAAATTCTGGGATGAGCAAACCGCTTTAATCTTAATTGCAAAATATTTATTTTTAACGTTTTTGGCAGAATTACAACTAATCATTCTGCTAATGGCATGTTTAACATATGTCTGTAAAAGTTCTAATGAATAATTGATTACTAAATTAATTGACCATTATTTCAATAATTAAAGAATTGTGATAAATTCAGCAAACTGTTTTCTGCTCAAATTTTATTTACATTTAATATTTTAGTAATAAAATATATAAATAATTATTTTTTTCATCTTTTCTGCCCTCCATATATGTCATGGATCACAGCTTAACCCCCCTTTGGGAACCCCTGGTTTATAGCAATGCACTGCAAAAACAATCTAGAAATAAGTAGATTTCTTAAATTAAGCATATTTACGAATAGAAAGAGTATTTTTACTCTTTAAATAAGATGATTAGATAAAATGCACTTGAAAGAAGCCAATGGAATAGTTTGTTCTTATTTTAAATGTAAATTGTCTTGTTCTATTGGCAAATTGTCTCACTTACCTCCTCAATCCAAGAAAGAATTCACTTATTTTAAGACAAAATAACTTAATAAGCCTCTGTGTCTCTAAACTAGCCTTTCAGAATAAAGCTCAGATACTTTCCAAAATAAAAGGTTCCATTTTAATGAGCCAGAACCAGACCAGAACTTTTCACTGAGGTGTTCTGAACTGAGCACCATGTTTCATCAATGTTTTATTTAATTTTATTCTAGACTAACGCTAACTGAGCTGAATCTGCTGGTTCTATTCTAATATGTTTGGTTCTGATCCGGTCCACTGAGGTCTAACTCCAACTGAGGGTAGAAGGCTGGATGGGGAGAAGCTTTCAGCCTTTATAAGGTATAAAGGTTTATCTGTGTGGCTGAGCTGCAACAGAAATCATTTCCCTCCAGACCGGCATCCAAACACTGGAAGTTCTGACTCAGAAAACAAAGCGATCCTTTGTTGCTCCACATCAGCCTCAGTGTTTATTTCAGCTCTGCAGTACAGCTGAGCTGCCAGCAGAGGGCGTTCACACTGTAGCACCACTGATCTCTATTTATTTATTCACTGGATCGCTGATAGCCTAAAAAAGTGAAGCAACTGGCCTCCATGTTGGTACTCCCCATTCCCACAGAGATGCACAGTCAAAATGGCTACATGTGCAGCATTTGCAGAAACCAGCAGTTTTCTGGCTGCAGGAAAACGTTCCACAGGTAATTTGAAATAACCAATAAATCCATCTATACGCTGATTTTTCCTATAGTAAACTTAGCAGCGTAACATTCTCTCGGACTCACTCAAAGTTATTGACTGAGTTAGCAATTTACATTTTATCTAACGTTAGAAAATAGAAAGTAGAGTAAATAGAAAGTAATTTCCTGTGAAATATCAATGTAGTAATTCTTTATTAGGTGGATGATGCCGTTGTTTTTGTAGTGTTTTATTTCTCATTTGAAAAAATCATGAGCTGAAATATTTTGCAATTTATATTGACGGAAAAAACTATATAATTTCACCCCAGTACATACATTTAAATACATATTTATGGAGGAAAATACTATAACATTAATAGACATGTACTCGTACGGTAATTCAGTCTTTATATAAAATCTTAAATTATATGTAAGACACCAAAAACAATCCATGTTTATTACATGTATATGGAAGTAAATCTGTGTCGCTAGGATTTGAATTAAAAATGTCTCTGAAATTTAAATGTATGTTTTTAGTTACTGGTTTCAGTGTTAAAATATATTCAGAACACATTTTTGGCCTAAAAAAAAATTAATTGTCATTATTTCTACACAGTTGAAATTTCATTAGTTATTTTCTCTTCAAGCTAAAAATTCACATTACTATTTCAAAGTGATTACGTTTTCAATACTTAATTTTCAGTGTTAAAAAAATCTGCATATAAAAAAATTCAAACTCAATATTTTCAGCCTCCTGAGATTCAATTGGCTCTATTTCACCGTCTTAAATTCGGCGTCTAAATTCAGAGTAAAAAGGTAAGGGTTACTTCAGGTCACAGACATTAGCGATGGATTGTGGCGTCCAACATCCAGCCAATCCCGTTACGGTTTATTAGTCACGTGACGCGACGCTGGTGGCGCTCATACTGAAGGAAAACCAGCATGACGGAGCCGGTCATGCTAGCTAACGCTAACTCAACGGTGAGTTTATTACTTTCATTTTTTTAGGTCAAAAATGTGTTCTAAATATATTTTAACACTAAAACATTTAAATTTCAGTGGCATTTTTAATTCAAATCCTAGCGACACAGATTTACTTCCATACATGTAGATCATCAATTTAGCCCTTTTGGTACATCTGTATTATTATGCTCCATTAACACATTAATTTTATTGTGATGGTTTTATATAATATAAAACTTCATAATGACTCTGCAATGTGACGTCTATTTTTTTATTCTAAGTTAAAGTTAATCTACTGATGCTATGAAGCAGCCAGTCTGTGTCAAAGTGATGAATTTATCTTTATTTTAAAAGTCTTAACTCCCCCTGAAAATGAGATCATCATCGTTATTTGATGCGTTAGCGCACAGATTGTTTACATTGCAACCGGTCTAAATAGGGAGTACCAATATGGCGGCTGGTAGCTTCACTTCCACCCTGTACTACCAACGGGCGATCAGCAACCGGGGAATAAATAGAGATCAGTGTGCAGCAGCAGCAGCAGCAGGGCTGCTCTCAGAGCAGAACCTCTGGAAGAAAACCCAGAAGAACCGGGTCAATAAGGCTTCCAGCGGAACCGATCCAAAGCGGACCTGAGCAGAACACTCGTCTGTATCTGAAGCTAAACTGAACAGAACTGAACCAGGTTCTGGTTCCACGCTGCCCCCTTGGTCACCACGACCTCAGCCCAGAATCCAGTAAAGCCTCTAAAGGTGCTGCTGGCTGATGGAGACCCCGGGTCCGGCTGCGGTTCTGGTTCCGTACCTCCCAGTAGATCCTGCGGGTGAACATCCCTCTGGTGTAGGCCTGGATGGTCATGGCGGCCCGTCGGATCCTCAGGAACTTCCTCCTCTCTCGGACCATGCGGTACTGTTTCTGACAGATCAGGGCGGCCCGGTTCTGACGCAGGAACTCCGCATACCTGCAGGAGGACGGGTTAAAGCCCAGAACCTATTGGGCTGGATCAGAACCGGAGGAGGACGCCTCACCTGCGGGCCAGGTATCCCCGGCCGTATCTCTGCAGCTCCAGCGCGGCTCTGCGGATCTTCCGGTACCGGATCCTCTGCAGCCAGCCTCGGACCGTCTTCTGGATCTTGATGCAGGCCGAGCGGAACTTATCGGTCCGGAGCTTCTCCAGGTAGGCCACCTGACCGGCCCGGAAGAAGATCTTCGTCTTTCCAAACTGGAACATGTCCGGTTCCTGTAGGAGAACACAGACAGGCGGACGCTGACTGGGTCGGTACCGAACGGGTCAGCACTATGGCTCGGCATCGGCCTACAGCTTTGGGTCTTTGACACAGAACCCACCAGAACCGAAGGATGAAAATAACCTAAATGTGACGGATGGATCTGGTACTGCTCCCTGTCTGCGGTCCGGTTACTGCGGTTCTGATGGAGGTTTATTAGTTTAGAAAATTCTGATCAGAATCAAACAGAACCGGTTCTGTTCAAGAACACCTGGTCTTGCATAAATCCACGGTTCAGATCTGGACCTTACAGAGAACCAGAACAGACCCAAAGAGTTCTTGGTTCTGACCCAACGTTCAGCATCTAGATTAAGTGGTCCGGTTCCTCCTACCGAGCCGGGATGGAGGAACGGGTCGGTACCAGGCAGTACTAAGGTCCGGTTCTAGAAGCTATTTTGGACCTGGATGAACGGCGCCGTGTTTGGAGCTGGATCGGGTCGGATCCCTCCGTCTCTGAACCGGATTAATTCAACCAGAACTTCTGGAACGCTGCTGTCTGGAGAACCTTTAGGTTCTGGATCCTTTAGAGGACCCGGTCCAGACTGGCTGTTAGAACTGGATCAGAACCAGATTCTTACCTTTATCAGCGTCTCCAGCAGGTTCTTGCAAACCTGCTTCTTATCGGCGGAGCTGAGGTCCGACTTCCTCATCAGAACCCGGTACCTGCTGAAGAAGTCCGGGTAGGTCCACCTGGCACAGACAGAACCGTTATCCACCCGCCTGGCGCCGGGTTCTGTGGCCCAGCAGAACCGGAATCATCCAGAACAATCTGATCGGTTCCTCACCTGGACGGATACCCGGCGGCGCTGATCCGGATCGTCTCCAGAACTCCGCAGGCTCGGAGCTGCTGGACGGCCCGCCGGGAGTCGAACCTGCAGAGACACAGAGACGTTAGAACAGAGTCCAGAACCGGGCCGGATCGGGTCAGAACACGGAGCTTCACCTTGTCTTCTTGTGGGACATGGTGAGAGATTCTGCAGCAGCGCAGACAGACTGCTGAGGACGGCCCGACCCGAAACATGTGACCCTGATTAGATTTACGCTGACACACGCTCAGAACACATTCCTGCACAAATGCTGGTCTGCTGCAGAGCAGAACCGGGCCACAACCACA